CGGCCGAATGCATTATGGCATTGTGACGGGCATCACAAGTTAATTCTCTGGGGTATTGTGATACATGGAATGACGGATGGCTATGATCGTGTTGTCGGTACTCATTCTCTCTTTTACGATGTCAAATAACTCCCAAACAGGTGACGGGCATGCAAGCAAGCAATAACAACCGTGGAACAACAGTCTTGGATGTGTTTCGTGGTGCCGCGGCACAGTTTGGGATGCCCTCTCGTATGCGAGGCGATCGTGGGGGAGAGAACCTGGAATTGGCAGTCTGGATGATCATGCATAATGGTGCCAATCGTGCATCATTCATGTGGGGCTCGTGAGTTTACCAAAACTTACTGGTGGCTTATTTTGATCTTCATCCATCCTAGCTCAACTCGTAATACCAGAATAGAACGGATGTGGGTTGAAGTTGGAAGAGAGTTTGCTCGTGCTTGGAGAGGCTTTTTTACCAGGCTTGAGCGACTACATCGACTCGATCGGAAGAATCCACAACATCTCTGGCTCCTTCACAAATTATTTCTACCTTCCATCAACGACGATTGTCGTCGGTTCCAGAAGGAATGGAATGCACATCCTGTCTCTGGACCTGATACAAATGACCGCTCACCCAACGTATGTGTCCTAGCCACAGATCAGGTATTACTTATCTAAAGTCTAGCATAGGATATGCGATTCCTTGGACAAACTGAGAGCGGTGTTTATCTTCATGATGAGTTTGATGGGGTTCAGCCAAGCACCTTGGAGAAATATTATGGCACCACCAGGCACCGTGTTTATCGTGCTCCACACCAAACAGGCGCAGGGAACCCTCCAGAGGAAGAAGATTCTGAAAACGATGGAGAAGACGATTATGAGGGCCTTGGAGACCGTGTTGCAGCAGACCAGCAACACCACATTCGACATGAGCCCTCAGAAGTACCAACAACAGAGTGTCCCTTCAACGAGGAGATGGAGACAATATTTTATGCTGGTCTTACAGAAGCAGGACAGATTGGATTACTCCCTGCAGATTATGGGGTACGACAAGAAGAGTGGGAGAATGGTGAATATCCAACATTTGAACATATCAAAACAGGGCAGAAAAGAAAAGAAATCCGGGTAAGTTTACCTGACATTATCTGGAGACGAAGAGCAGAACAGTGGGTTCGGGGACTTGACTGCATGCTACAGCTACTGTACTTAACAGACGAGCAAAGCATGTAATGTTGTTTATGTCATAAGCGTCACAGTGTTACAAGTTCGAAAATTGTCTAAAACACCCCCTGCATCGTCGCCAAGCATCCTCATGGCCCCCGACCCTCCACAACACACATCAGCTTCTCCAGGTCAGGGGATATGTACCATGACCCTGGAAAGTGGATCAGCATGTCCATGTAGAAGTTATGATGAACCAATCGACGTCCCTTATGGCCAACCGGTGCTTTGTCGAGAATGCTGCCATGGAAAAAGTCGGCACGTTGGGATGAGCTCCATGAAGATCTTTGAGAAGATCATTGCGCAAAAGGTGGTAGTCAAAAGCAATACCAATGCTGAACGGTTGGCTCGCAAGGAGGCGAATTCAGGGCTGCGGAACACCAACAAATCTTCAGAACCGTACAAAGTAAGCTTTGATGAACCAGACTTACGTAGAATATTGCTGATGTGCATTTACAGAAGAAGGATAAGAAGAAACAAACTGAGAAGGACAAGAAGGCCCCCAGCGTTGGCAACATTATTGCAGTCACTGTGGGACTGGATGTAAGCACGAAGAAACTTGAAGGCAATGCAATCTAAAGCAGTTATCTAGAAAGAGGGCAAACTCAAGAGAACACGAGCACCTGACATCATCGCTCAGCAGCAACTCGAGAAGGATGGAATGGCAGTGACGTACGGGGAAAACTCTGAGCTTCATGAGTTCCAATCCAGTTGGGGAGCAAATCGCATGAATGCGTTCCTTCGTGATAAGCTCCCAAGGCTGTTCAAGATGTTAGCCAAGGACAATCCGTGGGTCTTGACCATCGATGAAGATGATGAGGATGGTGACATCACCTTTCCGTACGTCCTTCTCGCAAAGAAAAACAGGACCTTGGAAGTCGTTCCTGCCGAAACGGTCACCGGTGCACGGGCTCTTCAAAACAAAGGAAGCAAGACATCACCTGAGCAATCATACATCTGGATTGGTGAGTTAAATTGTGAGCGGAAGTATGTCATCATAAACTCACACCGCATGTTCAGGTACACGCAAAACTTATCCCAACAGTGCCAAAGCTACAGAGAGCGACTATGATAAGCTCCAGGAGGTTTCCGATGGTGAAGAATCCACGAGTGAGAAGAGTGACGCTGGTGATGCTGGCGCTCCCAACAGCGATGCTTGCAAACCTGGTCGTCGATCCAATAGACTGAAGTCCAAACAAAAAGGTCAGCCTCCTGCTATGCATCCAATGAAGGAGGGCTCACCGCACTTTAGAACCCAAGGATTTCGAAGAGAAAGGCAAAGAGCGGGAGATTGTGGAGATAAGCTCTGATGAAGGTGAGAACCTTCCAATATTCATTAGAAGATGTCTAATACACAACTCAAGACGCCCGAAACATTACCAACTCTACACTGAATGATACGTCGAAGGACAATTCCTCCACTTTCAAGCGCAAGATTCCCCTCTTTGACGATGCTGAGTCAGAGTGGGAGACGGACGAGGAATGGGGCCTTCGTTTAGCATCACCAAGCCCATCTGCAGGCCCCAGTAAAAAGAAGATTAAGACGGAGAAGGAGGATGGACCTAGCGTAGCAACTGCAGTGCTCAACCCCGCTTCCACATCTCCCGTCATCCCCTCGGCCTCAGTTGAGGTTGCCTTGTCTGATGAGGAGGACTATTCGTTCATGATGACCGATCCGTGGATCTCGCGGGATAGGAAAAAAATCCAGTTCTAGTTAGCCGAACCATCCCCAAACGAATGTGAACAGATAATTACCATAGACAATCTGATTCCCCATGTCGCCCTTCTCTTGTCCAGGATCATATTTTATACAGCCAAAGAGTGAACGAGTAACCAGAAGTACGCGGAGATGGGATGTAGGAAAGGAGGGCCCTTGGAGCTGTGAAACGGAGTTGAAACTTGACATGAGACTCAGGAACGTCATACACGCACGAACCATTCACGTGATCAGAACCTTGATGTGTTTCCATGGCGTACTTTGCATGCAATGTCATTTGAATCCTACTTCTGCAATGTCAGTGTCTGTGTCCAGAAGAACATTCAAACCTTGGGGGACAACTTACATGGGCACTACACTTTCGGCGTGCCACGAGCGTGCAGGAGTGTGCAAGTAGGGCACGCCTGTGAGATTTTTGGCGTGCAGGAGTGTGCATCGGCATGCAGGGGTGTGCATTGGTGTGGATGCACGCCACTTTCTGTGCAACATCTGTGGTGGGTTCTATGGTTGAGGTAAGAATGAAGGGCGGAACCGTGTATCATCTGAGATGTAGACAAAAAGGATGACATCATCACCGGCAACTTACTGCAAACGCTCTTGAAGAATGACATCATACCTCGCTACTCATTCATCCTCCTTTGGCTTTCACCTTTGGACACTTCGATTTTTCTCTTCTTGTTCACTTTAATTTTATTCTTTTACTTACGACAACTCTGGAGGGTTTGACAACACTGGTAAACATACCGAGCTGGCCTCAAAACTAAATATGAATGAGTGACGTTGGCAACGCAAGCGTGTAAGACAGAAAAGACGCACGACATCCCAAAGAACACAGAGCCGGGGAGTACAACCCAATAGAAATAGCCGTTGACATGAGCCGCGAAGCCGTTGACAAAGACGATGTTCTTGCGGGCATCGTAACTAGTGCTCCGGTAGGATCATCTTGTATTGAACTTAGTTGAATGGGGCGAACGAGCACACGGCACCTCAGCGACCTCTTCGCCCTCCATTACCACTTCTATTTCCTCGGTAAGCTTCTCCTCAGTCCCTGCAACCTTCTCATTCCCCTCGTATTGCTAGTGCGAGCTGAAGTCGAGCCGCATGAGCAGTGAGCGGCCATAGTTTGGTCCGGTGGTGCCAAGACTTCGGTATCCAAAGGCTTGATGGTAAGCTCGATGTGGTTGGAAAGAAGGTGGAGCTGCTGGTGCGTATCCTCATAATTAAAAGGGATTGGTTACGGAAGAGATTGAGAGGGATTGTGCTTGCGTATTGACGAAAACGAGCGGCCTCCTTTGTCGGCCGTGTTCCTAACGGTGGCGATGAGAAACATTGTGCCTGGGCTTTCAATGGCCGAATTCAGGTGGTTGGAAGGGAATAAAAGGGAGTGGTTGAGGCCGATTGCCGAGTGCGTTGCTTCTTTGGTGAGGGACGAGTAGGAGGTCAAGATCGCGCATTGACAAATGAGTGCGTTAACGGGATTGAACGCCGAGTGGAATCATTGATGTAGGAAGCCGTCGACAGGCACTGTGACGCCGTTAACGGTGATGCACTGCCTGTAGACTCCGAGAGACTGGGGGTGGAAATGGACAAGAACGGAGACGTTGACGTGGCCCGACACCGTTGACGAGAATGATGTTCTTGCTGACACCGTCATGGGTTCTCCAGCGGCCTCTGATCGAGCAAAAGTCAGTGGAGCAGGGTGCAGATGATCACACGGCACCAGGCTGACCTCTTCTCCCTCCATTACACCCTCCATCTCCTCAGTCACCTTCTCGTTAGGTCAACCTTTGCCTTGTCCTTCGAATTCCCTGGTTCCTCCGTGTCGCTAGTGTAAGCATATGTCGTCGTCGGGGAAACACGAGAAGTGCTCAAGGAGGCACGAGCCGAACTCAAAGCAGCCACCAACACAGAGGGTGGGATGATCAACGGAGACGCGCTAGCACTTGCACGAGGGGCAGAAGCGCTCCATCGAGAAGGACTCACACTCCTGGGCTGCATCCTCGAAATCGGCAAGAGCGCCCCTAGCTGCTTGTCAGCATGGATCGGCAAAGGCAAAGACGAGGCGTTCTTTGACCTAGAATGTTACTGAGGCTGAGGAGCGAGGAGACACCGCTCGTCCTCTCGCATTCGACCACCCGTCCCCTTCCCAGCTGCTCTCCCTTTTGCTCTTCTCCTACAGCCTCCTGCTGGACCAGTGCTGAAGTCGTCCGTTTGTTGAGGGTTCGTCTTGAACGAGGGCGCTCATGAGGGTTGAGAAAACTAATAATTATTGGATTATCTATGCTATGTCAGCACGAAGAGCAGTCTTAAGTTCCACTTAGGTACTCAACATATGTC